TCACCTCGGCTGGACAGCTCGCCCTGCTCGCTCTGGGTATGTACGCTACCTGCTGCGCGCCCTGCCCTCCGCGACACCCTGCTCCCCCGCTTCCCTCCTTTTCTCTTTTCTGGGGCGTTTCAGAGCCCGCCGAGGAGAGCGGAAGGAGGGTAATGCTTTCAATGGGTTGGAGCCTGAGAATGACAAAGAGGGGGGCTGTGGAGCCCCAGGCTTTCCCCGGGAAGGGGCCGCCTGGCTGGGCGGCGCGTGAGAACGCCGAGCAGGGGAAGCAGTGTGTGTACAGGCTTGAACTTTAATCCGCCGCGACAGTGTCTGCTCGCACACATGCCCACACCTACCTGCCTACCTGGCTGCCTCAGAGGAGCCGCTCTCCGCCGGCGTCGGTGGTGGGCAGACGCCGCGCCGCCTCGGAGCGGGGCCCGAGGTCAGACTCCCTGGCTGCCCCTTGCCTGCTTCTCCCCCATCCCCGACCCCCAGGCGAATAAAGTTCCGGATCCACGCAAAAGCCTTCAGTCTTGTAACTTTAAGAGCTCATGAGCCTTGGGGTAGGCTTTGGATTTTTGTGCGGATTAATTGTTCTTTTAATTAACTTCCCTGGGAGAAGTGGTTTCGGTGTCAGCTGAGGGCAGGAGTGAAATCCTAGACAGAGCGTTGGAGTTTCCTTTGAGTTTGTTCTTGGAAATGAACAGGAGTTGGGGGAGGGGACGTTAAACCCCTGCAATACAGAGGTCAGGTCTGAATAGTGGGTGAAGCTTACAGGTCCCTCTGTAAGAGGTCAGGGGCGCAGTGCCACGCGCTGCTTAGCCGACTCTTGCCCCTAGTGATACCTGCTCTCTCTGCAGACAAATGATTAACAGCCATCCCATGTGTCCCGGTTACTGCTGAAGCCTTCAGTGAAGAGAATTATTCTGGCCTTTTCCCCCCGTTTGCTGTAAAGCAAGTTGCTCGCTACAGGGTCGTTAGAGTTTCAGAAACCCTTTAGAATGCCTACCCACACTCCAAATGCCCAGTGCTGCAGCCTCACCCACTTCCGTGTACAGTTGCGCCGGGTTCAGGGACCCGCCTGCAATCCAGCGCTTGCCACCCTGATTAAGAACCTCAGTAGGAGAGGAGGCATCTTCTAGGGGAAGAAAAGTAGAGCGGCGGGGGAAGGACATTGTCCTAGCTGCACCCTTGCCTGAAACTCACCAGCAGGTGACATGATTATGGGCAGTTTTTTCTCTTCCTATTAAGAACTGGTGTGTGTGTGTGGGTGGGTGGGTG